CCAGTTTTAATTGTTTCATTCTTTTTTTAATAAGCTAGAAAGAATTGCAAGTGTCTTATTCAAACGGACTCTTATTCACAAAATGGAAAGCCTAAAAAAAAAACCACAATAAACATTAACCACTTCAATATTTCAAATCTGAGTTATTCGCCTTGTGTCTTAATGGTGCCCCTTGTGCTATAGATAGTAACATGTATCAATACATTAGGGTTTCACCTAATTCGGTTGTGCGTTATGTTCAGAGCAAATAAGCCGATTCATCTTTGTACACGTTCAAAAAGGACAGGTGGAAAAAATGTGTTGTCACAGAAATTATCATTATTTGCACCTTCAAATCAAATATTAACATTGTTCCGGTCTTATATTTGCAACTATTTTACAACAATGACTTTCCTCTGTAGTACAGCAATTTACATCTATTGATAGACCACACATTGTTATTCGGTTTTACGTAAACAGAAAAGGTGAACCCCCTAGAGAAAATAAAATGAAATAAAATGAATGGCTGCCAGCGCAAGCAGTTTGACCTACATTAAACACGACTTAGAATATGTTGATATAGTACTTGGTGCATATGAACTCTTGTATAAGCGAGATTTATGAGACAACACCATTTCTTACTTCTACGTAGTATGGTGTGTTGTATTGTAATTTCTTGTGATTTGATATCCCTATTGCACTCTTGTATTTTCTATTGTTTAGGAGGCAAATAACGTTCACAAAATGCCCATGCACAAGACAGAAAAACATCCACAGGTTATAAATTAGATCACGACAGGCCATTCATACGACTGTCTTCGCATGATCCAGATATGGCATGACTAAACGTATTGTTGTCTTCATGGAAAAAGAAGAACATACGGAGAGATAATATTCAAATGCAGGCATGTGTAACTTGCTGTATGACGCTGGCAGGATAAGCGAGTTTTTTTTTTGTAAAGCCACACCCTCGGATGTAAATAAGACCACACAATCTGGTCGCGGATGGCTGTTCTAATTTTTGTGCCTATTTTAATCTTTACAGTTTATTTTGGTCATATGATATAAATGAAAGCAAGAGAAGCAATACAATGCAATTAATTATCGTTGATAATAGGACATAGATTTTACTATTGTACTTGCACATAGGTAGAAAATTTTATTTTTCAATTAGAACAAATTTTTAAATTAAAAAAACCTCCAAAAATTTACCAAGCACAGAAGATTCAGATTCTAGTTCGAATAAAACCCGTAAACATGTAGTTACACAGTTGTGTTTACTCACCAGTAATATCAGTGACAGCTACAGTATTAATACCCTTGTGCACTCTTGTGTACGTATATATGGCTGACACGATGAAGGCGATATGTAAAATATTGAGTATCATTTTTCGTACTTTGATATGGTTCGCCATATAATTTTTACGAAAATTTTTTTTACGAATTGTGAATAATCTGTTTCGTAAAACATTTAGCAATCTTCTACTGCGTGGCTAGAAGGGAGGATAGAGAAAAGGGGGAAATTCGGACTCTCTCAAAGAGAAGGTGTCATGCATAATGGTGTCGATGCAGCAACATCTTTTGGGGAAGAGCTCTTGCAGCAAGAGGTAGCGGAGATTGGTGTAAATACGAACAAGCAAATTTCTCTGACTGGGCTAATCGACTTAAGTTTTCAGATAGTGTCAGCCTTTATATATTTCCAAAATGGCGTGGAATCACTACGTGCCCCAATCAGAATGCTTGTTATTGTAAAGAGTTATCGCTTTTGTTCAACTCCTAACATGGATTATGGCCAATTTTGGTAAATCGCTTTTTGTTCCACTCGTGTCATGGATTACTACTCGTAACATGGAGTAATATTTGAAAAAAAAAACGAGACCTGATTTTTTCGGCTGATTAATTTTGCTAGTGTAAGAAAGCGAGTAATTCGTTTATTGTTATGAATTCTGAACCCGGCTATTTTAGAATTACGTTTGTGAAAAGCAGCTTCTAATGTAAGTCGATTTTTATGATTTCCAAGCTATGAAATTGAACAAGGTTATTTAATTTGTAATTTATAATCTCAATTTGTAAAGAACAGTTCAGTTGAAAAGAAGCGAGTAAATCATTTATTGTTATGAATTCTGAATCAGTTGATTTAGGATTACATTTGTGAAAAGCGGCTTCTAAGGTAAGTCAATTTTTATGTCATTCAAGCCATTGAATTGAACCAAGCTATTTAATTTGTAACTAATCCCAATTTGTAAGGACCAACATAGTCCTATATATTTTTTTATCTACCCAAATTTGATATGAACCAACATATGTCAATATACTTTTTAATTTCTCTACCTACATTTTATATCCTAACATAATCATTTTTGAAAAAATAAATTAGTTTCGAAGGCGATCGGTGCTATTTATATAAAAAGAAGTTACAGCTACAGATTAACATCAATCAACTTCACGTGGTTAAACTTACAGTTCCCAAATAGAATGATTCTAGTCACAATACCAGAAACAGGAGATTCATTTTCTCCAAAATATAATCTGAGTATATATTATTTGTAAAGATCACAAATTAAAATTAAACGTTAAAGTTTCATTTCTGCAGCCTTAAAGAATTACACATGACGGTACATCTTGGTTATCAAAATGATATATCCCCATTTCACGATGACCGTTATCATATCCACTTTCATAATTAGAGAATCGTAAATGAATTAAATGTTAATTTTATATGAATTTTCACAGACGAGTGGAATAAGGATTTTATATGTTGTTGTCAGCACTTAGTCTGTTGTTTGTAAAAAAATAATTTAGGAACATTTTTAAATATATAATCTTTATTATGGTTTGTTAATTGTTCTTTTTTAAGGGACGGATATTTGTTCAGATTCCTTTTTAGGATCTTACTCTTGTTGCTTTTTGACCTAAACCTGATAGCTTGTACTACCACCCTTAAGGTATTACATCAATACATCACATATGAACCGAACTTCAATCTAAGTATCTTTTTTCTCAAAATGATCTATTTGTAGCAGTTAAATATCTTCGGCAGATATAAACGCACCCCACCACCCTTCTAGAAAAAAAATACCGCATAAAGGTTTAAAATTCTGTAATTAACACAGCCTTTAGGTGGGAGACAAATTTCCCATTTCCGTTGATCGCCACGTTTATTGTATCCAAAAGTACATTTGTTAGTCATCATGCGACTCATTTTCCGCTTATAAACCACTAACCTAGATATTGCCTTCTTCAATCCCGCTTGAATATACTTTTACCGAAATGAGTTTTGTATTTTTTTTTATAAATTCGACTTGGGTATAATTCTGAAACTTTGTTATGAATTAGAATACATTACAACTAGGTCATCACGCTATGTCGTACATAGTTTCGTCATGTCAATTATGACGCCATCTAGGACATATACATTATGCATGTTGCAGTGAAAATTTACGGTATGGGTATACTGACCCTAAATGATAACCGATTCATGGCACATGACGGTATTCACGTTACAAGGTTCATCAGCATCAAAAGAAAATGTACACAAATTTGTGTTGATACTCTCTATCGACAGGTATTGATGGCAAAGGCCAAACACACGAAAGACGAACAATACTTAATATATAGCAATTACTTAAACACTGTAAAGCAGGTAAGCTAAATGCGTGTTGCAAAATAAACTTTACACTCAGAAAGGAAATTATGTGATACTTGTCCACAAAAGTTTATCTATAGACGATTCACATAATTAGACAAAACAGATCAATGTTAATGGCCGTCGACTTTTAAAGCTGGAAATAATTACGTCAAGTCAAAACACTGCCATTCAAGCAAATAAACTTGAAGCATCAAAATGTGTATGATTATCAATAATTAGTATCTGTCACTCAAATCAGGTAGTGACACGATACTATAGGGACTGTGTTAAAAAGGGCTTAAAGAAAACCCCTTAAAAATCCCATTCGTAGGTACAAGAAAATTTAACTACATCTTGAAATATACAAGAGACCTTTCTTCCACTAATTCGCTTGCAAGACTTGGTTATATTTTTTTTCAGACCCAGACACATCTGCCTGGCTAGCAATACAATGCAAAATTTTGCGTGTATTTGGTGGGATAAGTAATCTGAGCTCGTTTGCCTTCTTAACTGAAATAATGCGTTGTATGGTTATCACTTGAGGAGAGTCTGCCTGGTCAGAAATTTAAATATATATGGACCTTTATGGCTGTAAACGTACAAAAGTTATTTGCCTGTCTCTTAACTGAGATATTAATTGAAGCAGGTTTGTCATGTGTAAAGTAATGGATATGTTGTATAGAATGCACTTGCTGAACACCTTCACCTCCCTAGAAACTTGGCCAATTTATGTTATTTGAATTTGCAAAACTAAATGTTGATCATTAGCAATGTTTTATGGAAACCTCCAACTAATTTAGGAGAATTAGTTTTACCAACAGACGGATGGACAACATACCATCCTGTAACCTCTCTCTTCTGGTCTATGACCAGTAGAGCCAAAAAATGAACTGCACAGAACACTTTGAGGGTGACAATGCATGTCCTCGCCAGTCACTTGGACAAACCTACTCTTACATGGCTCACGGACATTTCTGCCACGTTTTGGTGCCAAATTCATATTGAATGTAACCAACTGTGTGGCATTTGTAGTTACATGTATACCCTTCAAATTTGCAACATCAAGATCCCATCTAGATGTTTCAAGAAAAGAATAGACTGATAATTAATTGCAACAAGTAAATGGGAAATAAGACAAGGGTAGTCAACAGTATAGTGTGTGAGATTTAGATTTTTAATGTAGCTTTAAACAAATTTCAGTCATATCGCTACAATATCTGCAGTGTGGCCGTTTTTAGTGATGTCTAGCACTGGGGCATCATGCTGCAGACGTGGCATAATGTCCCACCCAGTCACATTATCCTAACACCAGGCCAGCCAGTCCTAACACTAACCTCTTAATGCTCAGAGCCAAGCGAGGCAGATGTTTGTACCATTTTTTAAGTCTTTGGTATGACTCGGCTGGGGTTTAAGCCCATGACCTCCCACATCCGAGGCGGATACTCAACCAATAGGTCACCGGCGCCATCGATCAACAGTATAGTATATATTTATAAAATTATAAAGCAATACTGAAAATAAAAGGAAGGTTAACAATTTGTTTTTACATATAAATTATGGTCATTGGCAAATAGCAAAGGGAGACTATTCTGCTTTATATGATATGCAATCTCAACTTTGGAATTGAAATCACGGCTTTTCTAATGTACGAGTCGGGATTTGTTCTGGATTACTTTGGAACTACCGTCATTACGAATCACGGACTGATTATCATTGCTCTTTTGTGCAGGGTTATAATTTGTATATCTAACCTCAAGGGAACAACTGCACTTGCAATTATTCTTTTCTTGCAACTTCTGAATGAAAAGGCAGAACAATTTCAACATCAAACTTGTTGATACTGGTAAATTCACATTTTAGAGTTTCTCTGACATCACTAAATTATTGTGATGTAAACATCCTTGGACATGAACATCTTCCGAAAAGGCAACTATATATACTGATGGGTGCTTCCAGCAACAAGTTAAATGACAAAGAATGGTCTACCAGTCTCTTGTAACCGGAACCTGTAGTTGCCAAAAATATCCCTCTTCTCACCCACCCCATCTGTAAGAAACCTCTTGAGCAGCAGGCAGGGTGAACCCTACAAAAGTTTGCTCGAATCCTTAACGAAAAATAAAGGTTCCTTCAGAGGGCTGAAAAAAAAGTCAATAGCACTAAACCAAAGTCTCTAACTAATTATATTTCCATACGGTAAAGAAATGGTAATTTAAATCGCCTGATATTAGCTCAGTTTGTTATACTATTATTGAAGTTATTGTGTCCTTACTTTGTAAGGCTATTTTGTTTACTCGTAAAGCGACTCAATTGTTGTCCTTCCACCCTGCCTGCTGCTATTGATTGTCAAGGGGAACTAACCAAAGATTGTATCTAGACCTACACGATATCTTGACCTAGGTTCATGTAGATTTATTGTTATAAATCCAAATGGACCAAATTGTGCATTAGAAAAGAAATTTTTAAATTTAATCATATCCATATCCCCTGAACACCAAGTATAATAAATATTTTGTAAGGTATAATTATCTACTCCATAAAACACAACCAAAATATTACAGTTATCTCTAATCACTTTAGGTATCTGTGTATATCGTTGTGTAACATAAATCACGTCTCTATTTTTGTGACGACCTTGAGAAAATATTCTAGCTGGATTAGATTGTGTGTCCAACATCACATCATCATATACTACGAGATTATTAATGAATCCATCTAAGTCATCTACAGATGGGGCTTCATCTATATTTGTGATAAAGTCAATAATATCGTCACCATCTTTATTAACTGATTTTGCTTTTTAATTAAAATCCTTAAGTACTTCGTAACAATGTAGATCATCTACATACGGTGCTATTAAATATAGTTTGTTCCATCTCAACCACCTCATTATTAAATTTAATAATAACTGTGTTTTACCTGATCCAGATGGACCTATTATAATTATTCTTATCGAATTTGGTAATGCTGGATGGTGCTTCACTGGTTCCTGTTTTCGTGTCGCCGAAAAATCAATTATTGTATCCATATTATTAAAAACATGAGTTTATATTGTATTCGATGTAGATCATCTACACCCACCACTGGATTGACAACAATAATAACGAAAAATAAACGACATGCATTAACAGGTAAATGTGTAAAATGTGGCACAAAAAATATAAATTTATCTCAGGGACAACAAAGATAGGTGGGGATATAGCCGCATCATTAGGAAAATTACCCGGTTTACCATGGGCTAAACATGTTGGTGAGAAACACCTCCCTGGATATAATTATTGTGGTCCTGGAACTCGACTTGATATCCGACTTGATGATCAAGATCAACCAAGACCAGGAGAGTATCCAGTAAATAAAATTGATCAAGCATGTCACATTCACGACGTTGCTTATAAAAGTAAAGATTTGCAACAACGGCATCTTGCAGATGTAAAATTGATTCATGCATTAAATTCTATACCCAATAAATCTGTTAGAGAGAAACTCGCTAGTTTTCTAATAAAATCCGCTATGAAAAGAAAAATAATGTTAGGGGCTGGTAATTAATTATATAATTATTATAATGGAATCTATTTATTATAGCCCAAGAGGGTATTGGAAGGGTAAAGCAGCGATCACTAAACTTGCTAAAGCAGCAAAAGTTTCACATTCTGTTGCTGCAAATTGGTTAGCACGACAGGCAATATGGCAAATTTATCTACCACCACCAAAAAAAAAATCAATATGCACATTTTGATGTCAGTGTTCCTAACGAAGTTCACCAAGCAGATATTTTGTTTTTACCACACGATACTATCAAAGCACGTGGACGAAAGTCACGCACATACAAATACGCATTGACTGTTGTTGATATTGCAAGTAGATATAAAGAAGCTAAACCATTATCAACAAAAACATCATTTGAAGTTGCATCTGCGTTTGAGCGAATTTATCAACGTGGTGGTCTACAATGGCCACAACTATTACAAGTAGATGCTGGCAAAGAATTTTTTGGTGCAGTATCATTTTTGATGAAAAAAAAACGTTACAATCAGACGAGGGCATACTGAAATTCATCGTGATCAAGCAATCGTTAAACGATTTAATCGAACACTTGCTGAGCGGTTATTTGGATATCAATATGCGAAGGAAATATCTGCTGAATTTAAGTCCGGTGAGCAATCTTGTGAATGGGTTGCAAGGTTACCAAGTGTGATATCTGCATTAAATAATGAAATTACTCATGCAACTTCCATGAAACCTTCTAATGCAATAACAAAAAAATATATTAAAAGTAGCGATGAATACGGACGAGGTCAACAACCAGTATTAGGTAATGTGATTGTGAGATATTTATACGAACATGGGGAGTTGGAGGGTGGTAAAAGACGAGCTACTGACTTTATTTGGAGTTTGACCACACATAAAATTTCTAGCGTGGTTAGATCTACTAGAAGACCTGCTATATACAGACTAAATTCTACTGCACCTCAACGTGGATTTGTGCGTGAACAATTGCAAGTAATTCCTGCAGATACACTATTACCGCCACCTTCACTTATGTAAACTAAAACCCCTACGTCGATTACATTCAAGACAGGTCAACATCACATTTTCACGTGTGTGACCAAGATCACTATTTATTCTGTCTACGGTAAATTGTCTTGGATTATTATTCGAATATTGCCATAACATTATTGTGTTACAACTTGCACAGTGATTATTCTGTAATTGTTTTAGTTTTATAATAAATTCAGGATCAATATCAAAGTCACGTTTATTTTTTTTTTGTCACATTGTTTATAAGACGCTAATTTTTTCTTTATTACAACATCGTCATTAGTAATTTCTTCAGTTATCACATAATCTATAATAACCCTATGTAGTTGAGTTATTCGTCTGACGCGAGATACTGCAAGATATACTAAATTTGACCACTCGATCCGGTCATCTACAATCCGGATATTTGTATCAGAAATAGTTAATCCCTGTGACGAATGAATCGTTATAGCGTATCCTAACGACCACGGTGATTTATCTATATTCAATGCTCCTTCAACTATATTAATATTTACCAAAATAATGTCATTCAATACTAGATTTTGCACTCCGCCACCAGGAATTTTAACTTCAATATTCTGTCGTCGAGTATCTGCTGGGCGATAACATAATGGTACAGGTAGATGAGAAAACCTTTCTTTATGTAACGTAAATAATTTCTTCTGCAATTCATCACGAACTATCTTTCTACTTGCGACTATCAAATCAGTAGGTCTCCATAAAGTTAAAAAATCATTCATGGTAGTTTCTGGAATTACCTCACGCATTATCTCACATTGTATTTTATCTGGTTGTAGTCTGATTAATCTTTTAAGTTCTTTCAGCGATTCATCAATAGCTCTATGATCATCATGTATTTCTTCGTAATAATCCGCATTTTTCTTTAGCCATTCATGTGGAGACTGTCCAACAAAAGGCGGTGGTTGACCATGATCACCACACATAATCACAGCCGTGGTTTCTGTTAATAACCATTCAAGAAATATTTTTAGTGTTTCTAACGACACCGTGTCTAATTCGACCCATATAATATATTTAGGTATATATTTCTCACCCATTCGCTCAGAAGACCATGTATCTCCACACCATCTAAAAAAAACTATGATAAGTGCAAGTGTTGACCCCTCGTTCTTTTATCTCTCTGGCTAGTTTATGTGTAGGTGTCAAAACGATCATATCTGAATTGTTGTTCATAAATAATTTAATCACACGAGTTGTTTTACCTGACCCTCCACACCCATTAAGATAAACAGTCTTATGTCTACCCACAGGATCGTACACAGATGGTGCAAATGATTCTAATATTTGATTATTATTTATGTAATATATTTCCTTAATTTCAACGTCAGCAAATTCAGAATAACTAAGTATATTTTCTTGCTTTAAACTCCATGTTCCCCACTCACCATTACCGAGTAGCGGATTTAATAAATCCTTATATTTTTTGTTTATATAAAATGAATCCGTAGCGACTCTAACAGCGTGACGAGGAAATCTATTTATCATCGACAGTAGATTTATAGAAACATAGGCTAACATTGAAGATCTCAAATGAGTAAACTGCGGTGAGTCGCCATCAAGATAGCTCACAATAGTACCTAGTTTGGTCCCATCCGATAAATAAGCATTATTTCGGTTTATAAATGTGTTTCTCTCTGTTGTATCAGCGATTATAAAATCTAACTCAGCATCGTCCATAATCAATCTTGTACAGTGTCGTTTATTACCGTATGAACCACCTTGAGTAAACTAGCGAATTATCTTTCTACCGAGATCTTTTGCACGTTTCTCTTCGTGCTCGTCTCTGCATTTGCGTATATTATTATTAATTTTAATAATATCATCTTCGGCAAGATCAGGAAATTCCTTCCTGGCATCTTCTATATTAAATCTGTCCGGTTCTGGTAACCAAACTTGCTTTTGTGGACTA